AGGTGAAGGGATTAAGCAAAAACACAAACAAACAGAAAAACATACCCCAAAAACTCATAGACACAGACAACAGTATGGTGGTTACCATAGGGAAAGGGGGTGGGCCAGGTAGAAGAGGATAAGGGAGGATGAATGGTGATAAACAAGACTTGACTTCAGGTGGTGAACACACAATACAATATCCAGATGATGTATTGTAACCTATATGATTTTATTAATTAGTGTCATCCCAATAAATTCAATAAAAATAAATAAAAATGAAAAAACAATAAAACATGCTGACAGAAATTCACCCACAAGGATTTTTGTGACATCAATAGTTATACCAAAGTACCTAAATAATTTAAAATTATGGTTTATTCATTTAATGGAATATAATATCATTAAAATCATATGTTTGAAAATAATGCTCTCAGTTTAGCACAGAACATGATACAGGGCTACAAAGTCATATATACCATATCTCCAATTGCTAAAAGAAGAAAAGGTGCTGTTTCTTGTGAGGCCCATCTTGTTCGCTGGCTTCTCTGTTTTCACAGGTTTTTTTCCCTGTGTTCATATGTGTGTCTCAATCTCCTCTTCTTCTAAGGACACTAGTCCCGTTTGATTACAGCCCACCCATGTGGCCTCTTTTTGCCTTAATTATCTCTTTAAAGGCCCTATCTCCAAATCCAGACACATTTTGGGGTACTGTGGTTAGGATTTCAGCATAAGAGTTTATAGGGGGCATAATTGTGTCTATAAACAGATGAGATCATCAGGGTGGGTCTTAATCTAATATGACTGGAACAGAGACCAGCCTGGCACACTGTTCCACTTTCAAACCGCCCCGATGCCCTTGGAATGAGTAGGTGGCATCTGTTCTTACACAAGTCACTCAGCCAACCAGCCCAAGTAGAGCCAACAGGTGCTAGGCCCTTTCATCTTTCAGGACATATCCCTTGGCATTTTGGGGCCAGTTAATGAGGAATTGTTGGGCAGCTTCCTAGTCTGGAAGAAATTGGTGTCAAGTAGAGTTCGAGCACAGGGCCCAGCTTAGCAACGGGCTTCTGTTTCACACTCGGTCTCCAGCTACTCTCTGGTAGCAGAGTCAGATACAGACCCTTAAACACCTGCAAGTAAATTCTCTCTCCTGTATGAGCCTAGGTAGTCCCCAGGGAGACTGTTCTTGTTGTTTTTTTTCCTTCCCCTGTAAGGAGGGGTTGGTGATATAGTAGAGATGCTTTATACGTACATTCAGTATGTAATGGCTTTGGCTCCACCCCACTTCTTATTCAGTATTTCACAGGTGTGGTAAAGTGGAGATTAAGAATTAACTACAGCCATGCGTGCATTACCAATGTTTCTGTCAACGATGGATCACCATAGATTATAATGGAGCTAAAAAATTCCTATGGCCTTGTGACTCAGAGCCATCATCACATCTCAGCACAGCGCAGTGCTCACGTGTTTGTGGTGGTGCTGGTGTAAACACACTGCTGCACTGCCGGTCATGCTAAAAGCATAGCACACATGAGTATGTACAGTGCATAATATTTGACAATGATAATAATCGAAGACGTTGCTGGTTTATGTATTGAGTATACTTATTCTAGAGGGTACTCTCTCTAGTTATATAAAATAAGTTTGCTGCCTGGCCAGTGTGGCTAAGTGGTTGAGCATCGTCCCATGCACCAAGAGATCATGGGTTCGATTCCCAATCAGGGCGCACACCCAGGTTGTGGGCCTGGTGATGCCCATTGGGAGGCATGCAGGAGGCAGCCAGTCGATGTTCTCTTGCATTGATGTTTCTCTCTCTCTCTCCCTCTCCCTTCCTCTCTCTCTCTAATATCAATAAATAAAAATAAATTTAAAAAAGGAAGAAACCAGAGCACTCTCACTGTCTGTCTCTCTCTGCCAATTGAGGGCACAGATAGAAGGCAGCCATCTGAAAGCCATCCGACCTTACCAGGAAGGAATCTGCTGACACCTTGATCTGGAACGTCCCAGCATTCAGAAATGTGAGAAAATAAATGTCTGCTGTTTCAAGTCACCTGGTCTGTGGCATTTTGGAAGGTTGTGGGCTTGATCCCCAGTAGGGGGCATACAAGAGGCAGCTGATTGATGGTTCTCTCACATTGATGTTTCTATCTCTCCCTCTCCCTTCTTCTCTCTGTAAAAATCAATAAAAATATATTTAAAAATATATGTATAAAATAAGTTTGCTGTAAGACAGTCAGTCTGCTGTGTAATGCATGCAGCTCCCTCATTCATCTCATGTTTACCACGTCTCCCGACTGCATCATTTTTCTTGTGCTTGATTTTAATCTCGTGTTGTTTTGTACCAGTTGTAGCCTAGGAGCAATAGGCTATGCCATACAGCCTAGGTGTGTGCTAGGTTATCCCGTCTAGGTCTGTGTACATAAACTCTATGATGTTTGCCCAACAAATTTGCTTAAGGAAGCATTTCTGAGAACATATCCCCATTGTTAAGTGGTAAGTGATATATGAATGCATTGGATCGAGCAATTTAGCAATTGGTGACCTTGATAAATAGTAGTTTCAGTGGAACAGCAGGAGCCCAAACTTCATGGGTTCAAGTGTTAGGCCGCTTTTCTGAGGTGCAAAAATGGAGCAGAGAACTAAAAGAGAGGTGGAGAAAGCTAGGGGTTAAGGATGGATGTTTTTAAAATGGAAGAAGTCACAGTGTACAGTATTTGTGTGCTGTTTGGAACGATCCAGTAGAGGCAAAACTGACGATGCAAGAAAGAGGAAGAGATAGTACTGAAGAGATGTCCTTGAATAAGAAAGGACAGGAAACTTTCAGTGACTTGGTATTGCTGAGCAGGGGAGAAAAGATTTCCTCGACTCTTTTAGGGTCCCTGCCTGAGTCTGAAAATTAAACTGACAAAGACATATAAACAGGAGAAAAGCATGCACATTTATTTACCATAAGTTTTATGTGACAGGGAGCCTTTATAAAGAAATAGAGATCTGTAGAAATGGTAAAGCCTTTATTTTAGGTTTGATAAAAAGTGGAAGTCTTGTAGTAGCATGATAAAGAGTATGAGGTAAATGTAGTAAACTGGGGGACACTTGGCAAGGTCTGTGTGTTCAGATTCTTCCTATGAACCTCCATCCTGGACATAAGTATGCACCTTTCCTCTGGGCATAGAGAGGGCCCTTCTCACAACCAGGTTTTATGACCTGCTGCAGGGGAGAAGGGAAGGGAAAGTCAGAACTTTCTGTTTCTGCTGTTTTCTCAGGCTCCTTCAGCTTAAAATATTCAGTATGCCAAGATGCCATATTTTGGGGTACTGTAGTTTGAACCCTGTCAGCTGGTTGTTAAGTACAGCTATTATTAAATTTTATGAATTTAAAATCAGATAAACTATATTTAAAAAGATAATAGATATTCAAAACTCATCCCTTCCTAATTATGTTACTACCTTTAACATTATCTATGTGCTTGTGGTTATGTGTCTTGTATGTGGATGGTGGAAATGACACACAATGGTGCACTCCTGTGCTAATCTTGCCAATGCCATGCTTAGTGACATCACGCTGGCAGTCTGAAATTGGCCACAGTGGGAGTATTTACACCACAGAAATTGTAAGCACCAGAAATCAGGGCTGAGAGCTGTTTGTTTACCACTTGCCAGCCCATCGCTGGACAAATGGAGAGACTGGCCCTCAGTTAAGTGCTGACAGTTCATCTAGAACAGGGGAGAAGGCGGGGTATTTGGACAGGTGAGTAGATAGATTCTGCAGAGAGAGGTTTTGTATTTACTGAGTGAAAAAGGAAGCAAAGTAATCACCGAGGAATAAGACTGGGAAGGGAGGTGGCGGAGGTGGGAGGAGTGTGGGGCCCTAAGTGGGTTAGACATCTATTGTTTTTATCCAGCACCATTTAAAAGCCCCTTGAGGTTAGTGGTTTTAAGTTCAAAAGAGACCTGGTAAGAGTGGGTGGACATTTCCCCCATCCCAGGTCTTGTTCAGCAGCTTGGGTGAAGCAGTGAGCCACAGCACAGCTGGATTGTATCCAAGGCTAGGGTTTTGCTGGACCAGTGTGACATGTATGCAAGGGGCAAGTGAGATGATACAATTATAAATGTAAAAGTCACCACCTCACAGACCTTCGTTATTCACTCTAGCTAACATCATGCCCTGCCTGCCCCCTGTAACTTTAATCCATTATCCTATTGATTTTATTTCCTTCATTGGATGTTAAGTCACCAGGTTTACCATCCTGCTGATTGTGCTTTATACACCACTGGATCCAGTGCCTAGCACAGTGCTTGGTACACAGCAAGTGTTCAGTAAGTAACACGCTGAATAACTTACTTAATGAATGGAGTCATTTGCTCCTTCTAAAGTCTGCACAGAGTGATGAATACTCAAAATTATTTTTTGTACTCCTTTGTTGCTTGCTCCGTGGTGTTCAATCTTTAAGGCATAGGGATTTTGGAAGCCAGCTACGCTAAGCCCCAGTTCTAGGTGAAATAGGTAATTTTTACCCTATTTGAGACAACCTCCAGCCTGGGAGGCAGCCTCCCGAGTACTGTGGGTGACGCCGCTGTGTAGCCTCGGTCTCAGGTATTCAACACGGAGGGAGGTAACATTCCAACTCCTAAGTTTGGGGTGGGTAGTTACCGCATTTACTCCTTTTTCAGAGTCGCCAACGGCCGCTTGAGGCTTACTCTATGGCTCAGAAGCGGTGATGACAGAAGGACGAGTCCCAAAGTCCAAGACCCCGAAGCAGGCAAGCCAGCTCCGGGGAGAAGCTTCGGTCTGCAGGCCGGGCGCCCCCGGCGGAGACGGCCCCGCCGCCGGCTCCGGGTGTGGGGCCGCCGCCCACACAGGACGTTGGCGGAAGAGGGCGGGGCTGACCGCTTGTCTGTTTCTCTGAGTGGACAATAAAGTTTCCAAAGTTTGAAAAAGGAGAATGAAAACCCCACGCCCCTTTGGCCGCCGGCCTGTGGGCGCCTGCGGTCAGGGCGGACTGGGCCCGAGCTGGCGGAGGTGTGGCGCCGGGAATGGGGGTCACCGTGGACGTGCGCTGGGTGTACAGGTATCCCTTCGAGCAGGTGGTCGCCAGCTTCCTCCGCAAGGTACCCGCTCTGGTCCGCCCGCTCGCGTTCTCCCGCGCTTCTCGGCCCCGCCCGCTGTCTGCACCCAGGGGCCGCTGTCTCCCCCGTGGCCCTTCCCCTCTCGTCTTCTCTAGTCCCCTCGGGTCCCCCTTCCCCTCTTCTCCCTTCTCCCCTCCGGTGCCCCCCCTCCCGCGTCAGTCCGCACTCACCCTCCCCTTCTCCAGCTGTGGTTTCGCCACTGGATAAACTGGCGAGGGTGGAGGTGCATTTCCTCGAAGGCTCCCCCTCTGGCCGAGGGAAAGGCTGCGTATTTGGCCTCATGTTCACACACTGCTCCTGGTGCGGAGAGAGGCTGGTGGGAGAGGCTGGAAACCCGAGCTCTGGAGCCCTTTTGGTGTGTGTGACTTCTGGATCTTCCCAGGCCAGCAGGGACCCCGTAAGAGCTAGAGGGGCCATTGAGGCCTCATCTCAGTTTCCTCTGCATTCTTTTTATGGCCTCCCCACTGTCTCTTTCATTGCACAGCTGTGGGACTTTGGGCAGATTGCCTACCCTCCCTGTGCCTTAGTTTTGTAATCTGTGAAATGGGGAAAACAGTAGGATCAACCCAAAGGGTCAGCTGTGAGGAATCAAGTGAGATCATTCATGTAAAGTGTTATCACAGTGACTGATGCTTATTAGTAAGGCCTCTAAAATGTTGTTGTTTGTGCCCCTATAACTGAGAACCCTAGCCTCAGTACTCAGTGGCCCTCTTTGTCCCAAGGGCTCGTCCTAGGACTGTGGCTCCTGGCATTTGGAGAATGGGAAATTTCTTTGAAAAATCAGAAGCATCGAGGCCAGGGAGGTGGGGCTCCTGGACGCTATCTAATCTGGCCTCGCCTTTAGTTAGTTCACTTGATAACCTTGGTCAAAGGTCATTTTCTCTGCCGGCCTCAGTATCTGCCTCTAAGCTGAGTGTTGTACCAGTGATCTTTTAGGTTTCCCTTCAGCTTTCACATTCCAAAGCAAGATTTCATGAGTGTACATCAAGCAGCAGCCACCTGGCGGTGGGCTCCATGTGCTACTTGGAAGCAAAACTGAGGGAGATGCTGGGGAGGACAGTGGTATTGTTTAGTGATAGGACCTGACTTTTATTAGGGGAGATGATGACATTGGAAAGTCTTTCTGGATTGTCCTCATCAAGAGGTGCTTCCTGCCTTGTCAGAACTGGAGGGTCACTTTGGGCCTTACTGACCATTTTCTACAGTGTTGGATAGTTACTTCTCCACGTGTTCTTTTTCCTCATTAGATTCTAAGCTTCTTCAGGGTGGGACTCACTCCTGCAGAAGCACATAGTACAGTGCCAAGCTCACAGTTAAAGTACTTGGCACAGGTCAAGATTCTGGGCTAAACGTTGTTTTGTTTGTTTTTCATTCAATAGGTGTTTAGAAATAGTCTGTGTGCTGGGCTCTGTGGAGCTTATGGTCTCTCGTGGATGTGAGTGACATTAATAAATGATCAACAAATGAACACAGTTTCAATTCATGATGTGTATTTATACAGGGAAAGTTCATGGCGCTGTGTCTGAATACAGCAGGGAGGCCTGCTGAAGTCCTGATAGCCATTAGGAAAGGCTTCTTCGAAATTGTGGCGTTTGTGAAATAATGGCTGAAGCATGAATAGGAATTTTCTAGGCAAGAAGGGAGAGGGGAGGAAGTACTTTTATACACAGTCAGGTTTACTTCTTCCAGCAGCTGCAGGAAGTAATTATGGTTTACTTCCACTTCACCATTTGGAGAAACTGAGGTTTGGAGAAGTTTCAGCAACTTCTCCAGAGCTAGCAGGTGGGAGAGCCAGGATTTCAACACATCTGAATCCACAGCCTACACCACGAATCACCAGGCTGTGCTGCCTTGTACCTAATAACACAGATGATTAAAGTATCCCAGGGGATTGGTTTCAGGACTTGCTCCCTCAGATACCAAAATCCTCAGATGCTCAAGTCTCTTATATAAAACGATGTAGCATTTGCACATAGCATATAGGCTATGGTAGGTCATACCTTTACATTACTTTATTTGTGTGGATTCAGTGTAGTGCCCATTGTGTAGCAAATTCAAGTTTTGCTTATTGGAACTTTCTGGATTTTTACCCCCCCCAACTATTTTCAATCCATGGTTGGTTGGATCCAGAGGACCGATTGTATTAAGGGAGTAAAATGTTTCAGAATCAACTATCTGTTGCAGTGTAACAAATCATCCCTGTTACTTAGTGGCTTAAATCAATGATAGAATTTCTATTGATTGATTGATTGATTGATTTTTAAGAGAGAGAGAGAGATAGAAACATCGATGAGAGAGAGAAGCATTGATTGGCTGCCTCCTGCATGCCCCCTACTGGGGATCAAGCATGAAGCCCGGGCATGTGCTCTAATTGGGACCTCTCAGTCCATGGGACAATGTTCAACCCACTGAGCCACACTGGCTGGGCTCAGTGATATAATTTTAATGCCTGTGATTTTATGGTTGACTGGGCTCAGCTGGGAGGTTTTTGTGTGCCATGTGTTGTAAGCTGAGGTCACCTATATATCAAAATGCATTCAGTTAGGGTCTGGAAGGATTTTTATAAAATACTTAGCCAAGTGCGGCACATAGTAAATAAAGACTGAGGAGGACATTTGGAAGGGAGGGGTAGGTAAAGGGAAGGAGAACATTTGCAGAAAAGGCCGAGTGATGGGGCAGTGTTAACACTATGGACAACACTACATTTCCATTTTGTCTGTTCAAAAGCTGTCTTCACAGATCCCTGGGAGGGCTCTGTGACCATTTCTGAGATATCAGTGAATCCAATGGCTGTGAGAATGCTCATCTTACATTATTTTAAGCTATTGGTGCTGAGAACAGCACCAGGGGTTTGACCAGTGATTAGACCAGTGGGGTCAGACCAGACCTGGGTTCAGCAACCTTGGTGCTTGAGTGATGGCTAGGAAAGAATTCAGAGCTTAGCTAAAAAAGAAAGTTTATGCAGAGAATCACAGAGCTTAGGAGAGAGAAGGGTAACCTAACCTGCCTGAGAGAGAAGAGGCGAGGTGGGGAGGGAAGGGTGCAGGTGTGCTCACATTCCTGGAGGGAGAGCACTCTGTCCTCTGTCCTAAGGGCTTTCGAGGGTGGGGATTTTAGGGGTGGTCCCAGGGGAGGATCCCAGTAACAGATTTCCAGGTGTGTCCTTTCAGGGTCATGGTCTCTACTGATTGGTTGGTGCCAGGGCAGGGGGTCATTAGTGCTGAAGTCACCCATGGCATTGTTGGTTTCGGTGCTTTTCTGGGCCTTGAGCTAAAATGCAACTGAGGCCTAGGTGGATTTGTTGCAAGTCAGAACCTCATTGTCCTGGGGGCCTTCATGCTTAAGGGCTGTTCTCTGGCCCCCTTGTCTAACCTGCATGACTAGCAACATTCCAGGGGAGGAAAGATCAGTGGAGGGCTCTAGCTGAGTGACCAGTGATATGAAAGGTCAGAAGGCCCAAAACACATGACCAGCAATAGGCTAGGGGAGGAAAGATTACCCTGGGGGCGAGGTCCTTGTTTCCCCAGTTTTGCCCATTGCCAGGTCCCGGGGCTTTCCGCCCTGGTGACTTTCTGTACTTGGCCCATCACCTTCCCTCTTCTCTTATCTGTCTGACTGCCCACCACAAAGCCACAAACCAAGTCAGTAGACCTGGCTTCCAGTCATTGTGCTGTGCTCCTTAGAAGCAGGTTTTGGGTGGCCTTGGGCCACAGTTTCCACCAGCCTATGCAGTGCTCTTGTGCCAATTAAAAAGAGGCTTCCTTCACCTAGGGTTCTGTTCCACAAGCTCACAGTAAACGGGCCTTGAGGAGAGTCAATGGGCCGTATATGCAAATTAGAAAAAGGTGCTTTCTCCTTTAGGTGGCTGTAGCCCTGTGCCCAAGGGAGCCCTTGTGCAGTGAGCAACATGCTCACCCAGGTGAGGCAACCTCAGTACCCCACCTGTCTCCCAGGGTTGTTGGGAGGATCAAATGTGTAACAGTTTGACAGGCATAAGCTTTTTATAAGTCTCAAAGTAGTAAGAATCATCTTTCTGGCAAAGTGTACTTTTCTTTTTCTTTTAGTCTTCATGTAGTGTTTTCAAAGGAAAGCACTTGGCAGCAGGGACAATCATATGAGGATCTCTGGGAAGCCTTGAATCCGACTTTGCACAGTGGTGCGTTTGAAGGCTCTTCAGCACCGAGGAGGTTCTGTTTTAAATAGAGCCTACTGATGTGTGGCTTTTGGTATGTTAGGACTTGCCTTCCAAGTTATAATATACTACTATTTTTAAAACACGAGAAATGCTTGCTCTTTTTATACCTGCCTGTTGGGTACCACAGGCAAAATATTAGCTATATGCTTTCAAAGCTAAGTGGCACCTTGAAAACAAATAGCACAATACTGTTTGTTCCTGAAGTGTGCATAGTGTTTCTCAATGAACTTTGTGGAGGAATTCTGTGAAACTCAAACTGCTTTATTCATCCAATGCTAAGCTGTGCTTTCCATGAACTAAGTGTCAATGCACTTGGCAGTGTACATTGTTTCTTTTCTTTGTGTGACAAAGTGAACACAAAGTTGTGTAGATGAACCTAGCAGTCTAGAAGCTCACTCATCTCTCCGAGACATGGGCCTGTCTGTTTAATGGACTTATCTCTTATGAGCTGGATTCAGAGACTTCTTTAATTTCATATACCTGAACTTTAAAGTCATTAAAAAGGACCCAGAGAGCCATTGTGTTGACTGGATTTTCTTGTTTATTCTCAAACGAGGCCAGAGAAGTTACAGTTTTTCTTACCATAGAGTTCAGGTTGATTTTCTTTTTATGTTATAGGCCAAAAAGTCGTTGTGAATAGAGCATAAGCTTCATGGGCAGAGATTTTGTCATTTGTTCTTCATGTATCCCAAGTACCCAAAGAGATGGTGCAACACAGTAGGTACTCAACAAATTTTTGTTAAATGAATGAATGAAATACACTTTTCTGGGATTTAGCCTTATATCA